AAACCCCTCCCTAAAACCTACAGGTCAGAGTGCATCAACAAGTTTGCTTCGGTCTTCGGGACCATGCCTCTCAAGGTGGTGGAGCACCGAGCTGACCCTGTCCTGTACAAAGATGACTTTCCTGAAAAACTGAAGAGCTTCCCCAACATTGGCAGCTTATGAAACGTGCCACTGGTGGAGGTGTGAATGGGAGGCTGGGATAGGGAGAGAACAAGGCCTGCCAGCACTCCGATGTCAGAGTAGTGGGTTAAGGGTGGAAGGCTGACCTACTTGGATCTTGGCACATACCCACCTAACCCACTTTCTCAAGAACAGAAACCTAGAAGGAATATCCAAGCACCTCGAGCTATGCAACCTCTGTTCTGTATTTTTTATGATCTCTGATGGGTTCTTCTAAAAAATGCCAAGTGGAAGCCTTTGCGGCATGCTCTAGGTTTAAATCCAGCTGAGGCTCCCTTTGTTTTCAGTTCCTGTATAACAATCTAGAAGGAAACTTCACAGGCTGTAAGACTGCTGGAGAAGAGAAACCTGTCAGCCTATGTTAGGTCTGGGGAATCATGTAAAAGGTGCCCGGAAGTCACTTTCAGTTGCTTACATCAGTGAGTTCTTTGGAGGAACAGCCAAGCCCAGAATTTGGTGCAAAACGCAGGCATCTTGGTGGGATTTGCTAAATGCCTTGGGACCTGGAGTGCCGGGACTGTTCACAGGAAGAGCACCAGCCGCTGAGTCAGGCTCCTGTCAGTTCCATGAACTGTTCCTCTTTGGTTTGGCTTTTTGATATAATTAATATCATTTTTTATTCCTTTTTCTACTTGTCTTACGCACCGATTCCTGATAGTCCAGGGAACCACCTTTCTCCTTTGGTATATTTAACTCCGTCTTTGGCCTAACAACAGGCGTCAGCCTGTGTCTGGGAACACACTCCAGGAGGAATGGCTGGTGCTCTGTGCACCAAGCATAAGAAGGTCCCAAATCGTAAACATTTTAAGAGCAGATGACTCAAAAACCTCCAGAGGAATCTTTTTGCTTCCTGATTATATGCAGTCAATGTTTTATACGTATTGTCAGAGCAAAACAGAGGGTCTGTACTAGCCCTACAAGGAGTCACTCTAGCTGGTACCTGTAAAAGTTGTGGGAATTGTAACCCCCACCCCAAGGGGGTGCCCGAATTTCTCTCATTCTTTTGGTATAAACTTAACATTAGCCAGGGTGGCTCTGGCTAACGTTAAATGCTGCTGTACAACTGCTTTGCAACAGTTGCTGGTATATTTAAATCATTAGATTTCAGCATTTACTAGTTCTGCACATGTGTGAATTATACCTCTTTAAGCCCAGCTGATGAACAAATCTACCTTGGCAAATGTTAAATGTTATGGATTCGAAACAGATTTATCTGGCTCTAATATTAAGATTAGCCACAGTTTGGGCTTTAGCCATAACATGTGTCCCCAAAACACAAAATACATAACAATTTGCTTAGAATATGGATATAATTACAGAAACCTAGTTGTTATGCCAGTCAGCGTCGCTCATACACCATCCATTGTTCTGCCGTGTGACGTGAAGGTGAGCAGTTATTATGCTGTAGTTTCATCAAGAGTCACTTCAGATGTGTTCCCCAGACTTTGAGAGGTCAGAAGATTTCAGAAGCAGCAAAGTTGGAGGTAGAAATCATAAGAGTTTTGTCTTCTTTCATATGAATGAGCGATCCAGTCATGGACTATTATTGCCAAGGGGACATGCGATCATCTCATCCGGTCTGTTCATTTTGCAAATGCAGAAACTGAAGCTGTGGTTTTTTTCAGTGTCTGACAACAGCAAATACAGGTGCTTAACAAGTACTTTTGATTAGGGTAATACGTACTGGTCAGTAGGAGACATGGGAAGCATTTTGGTCTTATATTCATAATATTGGGGATGATATGATAGAAAACAAGGAAAAAGGATTTCTGTTGTCACCCAGATACCAGAGGCTGACAAGAACAGTGAGGCCCTCTTACCTTTCTAGGGCTTTTCTAGTTTGTTCTCCAAGATGTGGGGCAGGTATAGCGGAGGGCCTAACATTGAAATCTCTGCTGAAAGCTATAGATTGTGCTGGCGTTGTGCATGTGTCATATTGCCCTGGCTTCTTCAGATCTGTCTGCCCTTTTACTCATCACTGAAGGCACTACCTAAGTGGCTGGTTTCTAATGCAGCTTCTCTCCCAAAGGATACATTTTTCAATTTTTCTTTTTTAAAATCTTGATAGTCCTTTGATTTTAGAAGAGGAACTCTTTAATCAGAGTTCATTGTGAGCCCTAGAGAGCAGTGTGACTTTATCACCATCATAGGAGTCATTGGACTTTCAAGGCCTTACAACTCCATGTAAAGTGCCTCATTAATCCCAGGAATATTGGGGATTAGATCTTGCAACAAAGCATAAAACAATTTATGTTGAAGAAGGAACATTATATCCTAGGCATTTGAAACAACCTCAAAGATGACAATACCCTCCGAACAGATAGGCGGTACAGTCACGGTAGAAATTCGGGACAGGGTTATAGCAGGTGATGGTGACTCATGGATTCAGAATGGGCTAGAGACTCCACTTCCTTGTTGGTGTATTTCTGAGCTGCTCAACAGCAAACCTCACCCATAAGCTTAGGTCAGGATCGTCTGCCCTTGGGATGCCATAGAGCCTGGTTTCAGAAGCGGAACAATAATGCTAATTAAAATGTCATGTTCTGGCCTACAGCAGACAACAGCTGGTTTTAGATTAAGAAATCTTTTTAAAGAAATCACATCTTAACTGCCCTATAGACAGACGAACTTGAACTGGCCCTGGCCCAAGTGCACACTGAGCCACTGCCTTTGCCCCCAGGAACCTGACTGGGATGGGCCTGCTTGGAATGCCAGGGCTGAAAATACCTTTTTATTTTGCTGATTAACATTAGGTAGTTGTTAAAATGTTTATCTCATGTATTTTATGAACCCTCACACGTTTAGGCGTTAACCTCCTTTTCTGGGAGAATTAAAGAGAAAAACAGCAATTTTAGTTGTCAGAATCTCATATTCTTTCCTGCCAGCAATGCTCTGCTGTATCCTTTCTTTACTCAGTGTCGTTATGTCCAAAGCTCTGACTACCCTGGTTTCTCTGCCAAAGCTTCATCTGCTTCCAGCTGGGCTTTGAACTCGTGGTTTTTAAGTGCTGGTTTCTCTGCTGCCTTTGGAAAAAACTGACCGTCATGCTGGTCTGTGCTGACGTGGACTGGGAGTTGGAAGAGACAAACTCCCTCTTTGCTCTCATTGGCCAAAGGTGTTGCTAATAACCCTGTGATCCCAGCTTCCTTCTAGGATGCGAGCCTCTGACAGGCACCATGCCAGCAAGGAAACTAGAGCATCTTTATCAACGAAAGATATCATGTTTCTAGCCACAGGTTCTGAAGTTGTGATTTGGGGTTAACATCGAAGAACCCCTGAGGGTTTTTAGCCAAGATAGTAATGAGAAAGTAGATGAAGCAGAGACTGGGTTTGGGAAGCAGTTGGGTTCTGGGAAGGCGCTTCCTGGCCCTGCAGTTAGGTCCTGTGGGGACTCAGCTGATAGGGCAAAGGCTTTGGGTGTTGGAGATTTCCCATCAGCCACCCATCCTGAGCCTGGTACGTTTCCTTTGCTTTGTAGCTTCTTTGGGGGTATTCTGCTTTTTCCATTTCTCTTGGCCCAGGTACTCTTCCATTGCAGCAAGAGAAGCCACAACGGGCTCTTCCCCAAGCAGCCCTGGCACGGAGAGGCAGAGCAGAGAATGCTAAACTGGCCCCATACCTCCTCCAGCCGCTTCCTGAGGAGCAGTTCTGGCAGGAGTGTTAACCATATTGGCAGCAACTTCCATCCAGAGAGACTTTGGAAGCAACTTAGCTTTCCACTGCAGGGCCTGAAGGCATATGAAACCTGTGGGGCCTGCCCCTACTTACCTCACCCCAGAGCTCTGGTCAAGCCCTGGAGCTTCTATGCTCAGCCTGTATTTGGTACTCACCCACTTTCTACTTCTGAGTAAAATCAAGGGCAGCATTTGGTCCCATTATACCAGCCACGCATCATTTGTGAACAGGCCTTATCGAGCTTATCTCGGCCGAGGAAAGTCAGGGAGGCAAGACCCACTCTAAATTTTAATGTTTCCCCTTCATTTTTAGGGTGGGAGCTGTGAGTTTATCTGAAGACTAGGTGAGGGCATTCTAAGCTGAAACCACAGCCTCTCTTCCACCTCCATTAAATGGACTGTTAGGGGTCGAGCGCGGTGGCTTATGCCTGTAATCTCAGCACTTTGGGAGGCCGAGGCAGGTGGATCATAAGTTCAAGAGATCGAGACCATCCTGGCCAATATGGTGAAACCTCATCTCTACTAAAAATATAAAAATTAACTGGGAATGGTGGCACACGCCTGTAGTCCCAGCTACTTGGGAAGCTGAGGCAGGAAAATCGCTTGAACCCAGAGGCAGAGGTTGCAGTGAGCCGAGATTGTGTCACTGTACTCCAGCCTGGCGACAGAGCGAGACTCAGTCTCAAAAAGAAAAAAGAAAAAAAGGACTGTTAGGGATCCCCAGCTTCCCCACATTTCCTGGGAGGGTGTGTGGGTCTGTACAGGCAACCTTGTGTCATTTTTTAACATTTCTGGCTCTCCATTGCTGGCCACGGTGGGAAGATGACTAGACTAGAGAAAGTTTGGTCCCCTCTCCCAACTTTCCAGGCCTCTTTCCTTTTCAAGAAATAGTTGAATCACCAGCTTCTATATCTGGCATTTTGTTTCTTCACATTTGCAACCATTTCAGAGTAGAGGAGGTTTTTTTTTTTTTTTTTTGGAAACAGAGTCTTACTGTCTCATAGGCTGGAGTGCAGTGCCGTGACCACGGCTCACTTCTGCAGCCTCAGACTCCTGAGCTCAAGCAATCTTCTCATCTCAGCCTTCCAAATATCTGGAACTAAAAGCGCACACCAGCACACCTGGCTAAATTTTTTGTTTTTGTGTAGAGATAGGGTCTTACTATATTGCCTAGGCTGGTCTCTAACTCCTGGGCTCAAGTGATCCTCCTGCTGCAGCATCCCAAAGTGTTGGGATTACAGGCGTGAGCCACCGTGCCTGACCCAGGATAGCGCATTTTCCTTTCTTCTGCTCTCAATTGGTTGGACCACTGGTTGCATCTCTTTACACGCTCCCTGAAAAGCACAGAACTATCAGACAGAAGACAAGGTAGTTCTCAAGAGGTCCCAGGCAGCTGTGTCTGCTAGAGGCCTCCTCAGCAAAGCCCCATCTTGTCTACAATCTCTTAGGAACTGCACGTGGGTTGGGAGCAGCTGACAGAGCAGGGATCCATATATCTTACACCAAAGCCACCAGTCCTTGCCACCATATACAACCTTCCCTTTAGAATATATTTATCTGGACTTTTACTTATAGCTGCAAACATATCATTGGCTACTATACTCAAGCATCAACTCAAGGAACATTTGGTTTTCTGGTGACTACAGCTGAAGAACAACCAGCTAGTTACTGATCCAACTGAGGTAAGAGAACATGTATTCAGTCATTCTGTTATTCCAACTGTTCATTCTCTTATGATAATGTAGTCTTTGCCAGGCAGTGTGCTCGGCCCAGGAGATACAGCAATTAGAGCTGACTAAGACAATATCCCTGTACTGCTCTTGAGATCCAGCTCTAGTGGGAGTTCTTGAGCTTGGTAAGATGGTGTGAGTCCATCTGTGTCCTAGGATTCTAAGCATGTATGTTTTAGTCCCAGCCGTAAATGAGGATTCCGTGAACCCCGTCATCTCCAAGGTATGGAGGATGCAAGGAGTTTAAAATGTCCTTTTCTCTTTCCTCAACCAGAAATTAGAGATGCCAAGAGCATTTATGCCTGGGTTGGTGGGATGGTATGATGTATCAGATCTCTTCCCCTTTTATTAACCAGATTGTTTACCAGATTATACCTGGTGATGCTGGCAGCCAGCCCTCTTCCGGCCCCTATTTCTGCTTACCCTGTTACCAGAGAGCCTGGGGGTCTGGATCCTATCTGGCCCCGTCAGGGTGGATTACCAAATGAGCAGTTCTTTTGCCCCAGTCCCTTTCCTGTGCTATAAATAAGCCCTATGTTTATTTTCTTACGTTATTGAAATGAGCACTTGTGATTTGGGCCTCTTTTGAGGAGTCGAGAGAGCGTCCATCCGGTGCCTGCTGAGGGCCCTGCATGGCTGGCTGCTGTCTGAAACTATTTGGAGTCCTCTCCCTGTGTTTTCTATGTGGCTTAATTTCAATAGAAAGGGCTGTATGCAACCCTGTATCTGCTGATTTTCAGGTTTCAACTTTCTGCCAGTCTCACTGCCTGCTTAGAAGTAAAGTTATGTTTCTCATTAAGGGGATAACAGCCACAATTGAGGTAATTAACGAAAATTGTACATTGGTGGCAGCAGCTCCTATAGGATTTCCAATGGTCTTTCTCTAGTAGATCCTTGGGGACTCACCTTCATCTCCTCTCTTCTGTCTACCCTGCACCTAAATATCTTGTCCTGTTTTCTGGACATAGTTCCAGTATTTTTTTTCCTAACAGCCTTTTTGTCACCAGTTGGTTTGATATCTTACAACTTAGTCAAATGAGGGTCCCACTAGCTCCATCTTCTCTAATGCACGAAGGATTCAAGGATATATATATTTTTTCTCTTCTCATAGTACCTTCCAGTTGCCAGTTGCATCCTGGCCCTTCTTTGGAAGTTATAATGATGAATATCCATTAATAAGAGATTGATGCTCTTTTAACTCTCATGTCATCTGTACCATCTTAATGGAGAGGATGGTCTTGGATAAGGTTGGGATGGAAAGGAAACATCTGGAAGTCCACTCCAATATCTTATATGCTGTGTGAAAGTCTGGGGTTAGGAAATATTCTGAGGGAGAACTTCCTAAGGAATGACTTTTGGTTCCTTTATGCTTTAACAACACACCAAAAGTATCCCATGAGACTATGAGCAGGACACAGCATTGTTTCTCACCTTGGGCTCTGACTATTATCTACTTCTCAGGACAGATGACTCTGGTTAAGTCACTCAATAAAGAAATATTTTTGTGTACATAATCTGAACCTGAAGGCTATTACTGAAGAGGATGCATCTGACAACAAGACTTAATTTACTTTCAGAGTAAGGACCAGGAGAAAGTAAATTTTCTTATGTTTTTAACTGTATCATTTTACAAAGATTCTTTTCCCTTAAAAAATAAAAAAGCTGATGTGATGGGTTCCTTCAGCCAACAAATAATTACTGAGCAGTTATTGTGTGCTAGACACTGCTTGTGGTGTGAGAATATGGCACTGAACAAAACAATGGATGTACTTTCATCAAGCTTACATTCTAATGAGGAAGATAAGCAAAACAAGTAAGTGAATATAATTTCAAATGTGAATAAATGCTGTGCAGAAAATAAAGCAGAGTATTATAGATGGATAACGACTTGGGCATAAGGTGGTATTTTAGGAAGGCTGATCAGAGGTGATATTTAAGCACAAATACAAATGTTGAGAAGGAGTGAACTGTGAGCATACCAGGCAGAGGGAAGAGCTAGTATAAAGGCCCTCATGCAGGAACAAGCTCAGCTTATTTTAAGAACAGTAAGAATAGTGTCTGAAGCATATTGAGTATGGAGAGCATGATAGATGATGATGCCAGAAAGTTAGGCCAGTGCCAAATTGTGTTAGGATTATATGGGCCAAAGGGATTCTGGAGTCTTACTGTGAGTGTGCTGGGAAGACACTGGATAGTTTTAAGCAAGGGAGTGACACATCTGAATGGCATGTTTAAAAAGGTTATCTCTTCTACTGAGTGGACAGTAAGCTGTAAGGAGCAAGAGTAGAAGAAAGGAATTCAGTTAGGACACTATTTTAGGGAACCCAAGTAAGAAATGGAGACTTAAACTAGGATGGTAGCAGAGATGGTAAGAAGTTATATTGGGAGTAGAGTTTATTGGTTGTACTGATGAATTGAATAGAAGAGATTAAAACAAAAGAGGATTCACAGGTAACTCCAAGGTTTTTGTCCTGAGTAACTACATGATACCATGAGCTGAAGTATGTCAGACTGAGCAGGGTAAGGGCAAAGACATGTTGAGAGAGAAAAATCAAGAGCTCTACTTTACACATGTTAAGTTTGTCTATTGGACATCTAAGGTGTAGTGTCATTTAAATAGTTGGTTATCTAGAGCTCAGAGGAAAAGTTATGACTGAAAATAAGGAGGGCTTAAAACTCTAGGACTCGATAAGATTACCTAGAGTATTAGTGTAGTTAGAAAGGTGACAAGGATGGGGCCCTAAGTACTAGGCCAACTCTAACATTTATAGGTAGAGAACAAAAGGAAGAACCAGCAAAAGAGACTAAGTAGTTGCCAGTGAATTAGGAAGAAAACCAGGAAGGTGTCTGTAAGATACCTGTGATAAATTAAAAATGCATTCTATTAACTCTAGAGCAACCACTAAAAATCACTTTTTAAAGAGGCAGGGCTAATAAGGCAAACTAGAGATGGAATATCAAAAATATACTCAATCAAAAAGCAGGAAAAGAAGAAAGAGTAAACAAAGGACATAGGGACAAATGGAAACAAAGAGCAAGATAGTAGACTTAAACCCAAACATGTCACCAATTACATTAAATGTAAATGATCTAAACACTGTAATTAAAGGGCAGAGATTATCAGAGATTATTAGCAGCAAGAGCAATTACATGCTGTCTACAAGGGAAACCACTATAAGACAGACTTAAGTTTAAAAAGTAAAAGGGTAGAAAAGATGTACTATGCAAATATTAGTCATGAAAAAATGGGAGTGATTATATCATTGGGGAGCAGAGGAATATTTCATAATGATAAAGAGGCCAATCAATTCATCAAGAAGATTAATTGAATTCATCAACAAGGTAATCCTAAATGTGTGTGCATTAAATAACAGTGCCTCAAACTATATAAATCAAAAACTATCACTGAAAGAAAAATAGAAAACCCACAATTGTATATAGATGTTTCAATGCTCCTCTCTTAGTAACTGATATAACAAGTTAATGGAAAAATATAGATGACCTGAATAACACTATCAGCAACCTTAATTGACAGTTATAAAATGCTTCATCTGCTGTAGCCGAATACACATTCTTCTTAAGTGCACATGCAACATTTACCTCAAATGTGTTGCACAAAAATAAGTCTCAGTGATTTTAGAGGAATTAAAAACATTAAAAAGTTGTCTGACCACAGTGAAGTTAAATCAGAAATCAACAGATACCTGAGAATATCCCCAATAGTTGGAAATTAAATAACATTTCTAAATAATGCATGGATTAATAAAGACACAAAGGAAATTAGAAAATATTTTGAGTAAAAATGAAAACTGTATCACAATGTGTAGGGTAGAGTACATAAAGATTTATAACTTGAAAGTTTAAATTAGAAGAGAAGTCTACATTAAGAAACTAGGAAAAGGAGCAAAATAAGCCCAAAGTAAGCAGAAAAAATAAAGATAAGAGCAGAAATCAATGGAACAGAAAATGGAAAACAATGGAAAAAATCAATCAAAAACTGGTTCTTTGAAAAAGATTAATAACTGCTCAAGACTGTTAAAGGAAGAAAAAAACTAAGATACAAATTACCAGCACCAAAAATCAGAGGGAACATTGGAATAGATTCTAAACAAATTAAAAGGATAATACATTGCTATGATCTGATCTGAATTTTTGTGTGCCTCCCCTGCCAAATTTATGTGTTGAAACTTAATCCCCAGTGCCTTGGTATTGGCAGGTGGAGTATCTGGCAGTTAATTAGTTCATGAGCAGAGCTCTCATGATTGGGATTAGTGTCATTATAAGACACCTGAGAGAGAGTTCATTTGTGCCTTCTACCATGAGAGGACACTTAGAAGGTGCCATCTATAAGGATTGGGCCCCCTCACCAGACACCAAATCTGCTGGCACCTAGATCTTCGATTTTCCAGCCTCCAGAACTGTGAGCAATAAATTTCTATTATTTATAAATTGCCAGTCTAAGATATTTTGGTATAGCAGCCCGAACAGACTAAGAAGTATGAACTTTATAACAATAATTTGTGTAACTTGCATGAAATGAGCACAATCCCTGAAAGACACAAATTGACAAAACTGCCTGAAGAAGAAATGGAAAATCTGAATACTCTTGTATCTGTTAAAGAAAGTTGTAATTTAAAATGTTTTGCAAAGAAGTATCTATGTCAATATAGTTTTACTGGTTAGTTCTATCAAGGAAGAAATAATACCAATCTTATTCAAACCCTTTTCAGAAAATAAAAGGGGACGAGGTATGTTTCAATTCATTTTAAGTGGCCATTATTACCCTGACACCAAAGCCAGATAAAAACCTTACAAGAAGAAAACTGCAGACCAATAGCCCTCCTGAACATAAATGCAAAATCCTTAACAAAATATTAGCAGATTGATACAAGACTGTAAGAATGTTGGAAAATCAATGTAATTTACAATAGAATAAAAGAATACTTGTGTGATTATCTCACTAGCTATAGAAAAAGCATTTGACAAAGTTTCCTACCTTTCATGAAAAAAAAAAAAAAAACATAGAAAACATATGCACACAAAGACTTGCACACAAATGTTCATAGCCAGCTTTATTCATAATAGGCAAAAGCTGGAAGTAAGTCAAATGTTCAAAAGCAGATGAATGGATAGACAAATTCTGGTATATACATACAATGGAGTACAGCTCAGCAGTACAAATACTGAACTATTGAGCGATGCAACATGGACAAGTTTCCAAAACAGGTGAGCAAAAAAAAAAATGCCAGACACAAAAGAGTATATACTATTTGTATGAAGTGTTTATTTAAAAAAAAAAAAACTGATGGTTAAAAAGTGTCATCTTTCATAGTTCCTTGGTTTTGTCCTGGACCAGTGTCTCTTTCCATCCTTAACCTGGGTATTTGCTTAGGGCTTCAGGATCTAGGATGCCTCCAGTCCCATTGCCTCAGTCTGGTGTGTTCTTCATATGGAATACGGACTTGCCAGGTAGGCGGCTGACATTTATTAAATGCTGGCCATGTGAAAGATGCTGTGCCAGGTTCTTCAGATAAAGACAAAGAAGACATCATTTCTGCCTTGAAGGAGCTCGTTGAATTGATAAACACAGGAGATTAGTCAGTGGTAGTCCTATCTGCTGTATAAGACAGTGCATGACAAAGGACAAATTGCACACATTACCCCCTGTGGAAGCAGAGTGGGATTGCTTCTGACTTGTTCAAGGAGGTAGCATTTGAAGGAGCAGTGAAGAGTTAATGCATGGAGATGGGCATTAGGTGGACAGGGGTGTGTTAACCAATAACCCTCCTGAACATGATTGCAAAATCCTTAACAAATAAAGATGCATGTTGGGGCAGGCATTCAACCTGAGGGAAGTGAAAGGAAACAAGAAGATGGGAAAGTATAAAGGATGTCCTAGGTTTGCAGGAGCACAGGGCCCAGACTAGGGAATTAGAAACAACAAGGCTGAACAGGAGTTGAGGGCTACATTAGGGAGCCGGAACACCAGTCTGTAGGCGTGTGAAGGTTTTCATGTGAATGTGCTGGATAAGGATGGATCAGAGCAGGGTTTTGGCATCCATATTGTTGATGGAGTGGACCAGTGAGAGACGGAATTAGATGTAACCACTTAGCAGTAGCCTATGTAGAAAGTGAGAGGGCATGAACCAGGACGGTTGCTGGGCCCAGCTGGGAACTTGCTGGGGATGCTGAGACCCTTTTGGATACAGGGATGGGAAAAGCAGCCCCCTGCCCATTTCTTTGCCTTCCTGTCACCCCTATAACACGTACCAGCCACACTGCTTGTTATGGACAGCTTTGTGCCCTCACCTTCATATACTGAAGTGCTAACCTCCAATGTAACTGCATTTGCACATAGGGCCTATAATGAGTTAATAAAGGTTAAGTAAGGTCACAAGTGTGGGACCCTACTCCAGTAGGACTGGTGTCCTTAACAGAGGAAGGGGCATCAGACCTGTCTACACGTGTGCACAGAGGAAGGTCTCTGTGAGGACACAGAGAGAAGACCGTCTTCTATTAACATAAGCCAGAAAGAGGCCAGAAACCAGATTTGCTAGCACCTTGATCATGGACTTCTGGCCCTCCAGAACTAGGAGAAAGTAAATGTCTCTTAGCCACCCACTGTGTGGTATTTTGTTATGGCAGCCCAAGCAGATTAATACACTGCTCACCCCAGATCCCTCACTGCCTCCCCAGCCCCGCCAATCTGATAAACATAATATCGGGCATCCCCAGTGCTCCATGGTATGGCGTCCATAGAACTTGTGAAGCAGTTCTCCAATGTTTGGCACCCCGCCCTTAGCCACTTGGATGGAAGTTAACCCCTTTGGCCTTCTCAGCCTCCAGTGCGCATGATTCCCCCTCTGTACAACTCTTCACTATTTTCAAATATTTTAACTTTTGGACTTCATAACCACCTGATGAGATAAGCAGGAAACAGTTGGTTATCCCCATTTGACAGATGAAAAAATTGAAAATGGAAGCATTTTTGTGTCTTGCCTAGGGTAACAGAACTAGTAAGTTGCAAAGTCCGTTCTTTAACTCATGTCTTCTGTCTCTTGCTTCACCATGTGGCTTCCTGGCCAGTGCTCCCCCATGCTTTCATCTGGACAGAGCTTTCTGTCCATACCTATCTTGGAGAAGAGCTATGGTTTGCCTTGTGTTCCATCCTTCCTTAGGCGTTTATCCCCTTCCCCCGTCCTCTCAAAACGCACACACTCATTTATTTTCATTCTTTCCCCATGGTGTAGCTTGGCCCTACTATCATAGCCACAGGGAGCCCTTCCTTTCCCAAAGATCCTGGAAATTACAGAGGTACACTGTGGGTAGAGGACAGAGAAGGGACAGAGATGGGGCTTGTGATGTTGCCAAGGAGAAATCCCAGGAGGCAGGGCTAGAACACTGTGTCCTCTGCACATCTAAGAACGGCATCCTGACTGGGGTTCCAGGCAGATCTCATGCAGGCACCACAGTGGGTTTTCTCCCAACTAGTTAAGGCAACACCTTAACACATGGTGTGCACATGCTCATAAACTGAAGCTCCCTGTGGAGGTTTGCCCTTCCTCAAGCCTGTTGGTCTGTGTGGAGCTTAAAAAAAAAATCTGTTTGGAATCACACAGAATTCCTGGGAAAATTTCAACTCTCACACCCCATTGTCTTCTGGCGCTGACTTGCACCTCCTCACTTGTGCACATAGACAGTTTGCAGTCAGCCCTATTTTGGGGAACTGGCTATTTGTGGAGAGTCTATTGTTCCTTAGCTGCTGAGCATGCAAGTCTGGACCTCTGGAAGGAGAGGTACCACCATCACTCCATGCCCTGCTCGCCACATTGAGGATTCTGCTGTCACATGGCCTAACGAGCATGTGGAGCCCTGGGGTTGGCAGAGTTGCCTGTAGCAAGACCTGGGACAATGGGATTGGTGATGAGCTGAAGGCAAGAGTGGTTTCTGCTGGGGTTGGCACCAAGGCAGGAAAGGAGCCGTGTTCAGACAGCCGCTGAAACTGGGGTTGAGAGTGGAGGCTTCAGGGCATGAGGATTCTACAGGGATGCTGGAGAAAGCGGGCTTTGAGCCCAGGGCCAAGTGAAGAAGCTTCCAGATGAACACTCTTGGACACAGGACCTCTTGCACCATCTTGGGGAGCAGGCCCACCCCTGGCAACACTAAAGAGGGCAGCTTTCCTGCCCTGGCCACAGCTCATAATGAATGCGTTTGAACCCTGGAAGAATGGGGTGGGCGGGGTTCATGGTCAAGTAGAGGCTCTGACACTCCAGGAAGATCTCTAGTGGGCTGAGTCAGCTTCTAGCTCTCTAAAACGAATCCTTGCGTGTCCTCTGGACTTCATCCTCCCACCCTTAATCAACACAGAGCATCTCATCATTCTCACTTTCCCATTCATTCACCCAGTGACCTGATATTCTTATTCTCTCAGGCATTCAGATATGAATATAGCCTGTCTCCTCATAGAAGAGCCTTTTAAGGATGTGAGGAAGTCAGGTGGATAAATAGATAAATGGTATTATGTGCCGTCATGGTATTGTGGTTTTTTTGGGATGGAGTTTTGCTCTTGTTGCCCAGGCTGGAGTGCAATGGCACGATCTCGGCTCACTGCAACCTCCACCTCCTGGGTTCAAGTGATTGTCCTGCCTCAACCTCCCGAGTAGGTGGGATTCCAGGCATGCACCACCATGCCCAGCTAATTTTGTATTTTTAATAGAGACAGGGTTTCTCTATGTTAGGCAAGCCGGTCTTGAACTCCCAACCTCAGGTGATCCACCTGCCTCAGCCTCCCAAGGTGCTGGGATTACAGGTGTGAGCCACCACGCCCAGCCTTTCATGGTATTATTAAACAAATGGTTTTGTGGAAGCGCAGAGCGGCAGCTGTTGACCTAGGGGTGGAACTTGGGGTGAGGGCATGGGATTAAGAAAGACCATCACAGAAGATGCTATCATTTGGAGGAAGCCTTGCAGAGTGGCTGGGTGCACTGGAGGGGATCTAGAGAGGAGACAGAGGCATTCGAAGAAGAGATAGCAAGTCTAGTGGTGTGGCCAAATGAAAGGGCGTAGATGGCTTGGGGAGCAATGAGCTGTGCTGGGTGGTCAGACAGTGAAGGGCTTAGCTGTGGTCCACAGTCGGAGGAGGCCCTGTTGGCGCTGGCCTTGTCCTCCTCAGAGACCACTCGGAGGCACCGATCCCAGGGGTGGGTTCCCTGCATCCTCCATGATGCCTATGTCACCCATCAGGCCAGTCTTCCTCTTTAGCAGTGATGCCCATCTGGACTTTGCGGGATTTGGGCGGTGCTCAGCTCCCACAGAAGAATCAGGGGCATGAGGTAGAGACAGCGCCCCCTGGCTTCGCATGTGGTTTGCACATGGCTTTTCTCTCTCTCTGCTTCAATTCCTGCCCTGTGACTTGGCAGTGATTTGGTGTGGAGCATCCAAGCACTACCGTGACTCTGAGCCCTAATATAGGGCAGGTGTCATTAAAAAAAAAAAAAAAAGTTCCCAGCCCAAGTCAATCTAAAACCCAGTTGGGGCTATACTGAATGTGAATGCACCACCACAGGTATCAAATCGGAGATGCGGTTCCAAGAAAACTTCAAATAGCTGGAAAGGGAGGATGAAAAGGAGTTTGTTGTTGCTATTGTTGTTTCATCAGACTTACAGCTGGGAGCTGGAGGGCAATGTCATTCTCTGGGAGTAATCATTGTCCCTCATGTCACTATGCCACACTGGCGTGCCAAGCCCATGCACAGACGTTGTCCACCTAATCCTCCCCCGACACTGTAAGCTAAGCAGGGACAGGGGCTTATTCTCTCCTACAGATGTGAGAACTGAGAGTCGGCTGGTTTGGTCAACAAAAATGACTCCCTGTCCACATGGTGGTCCCTTGGAGGCTGACTGCCTCTTCCTGAGTCACCTTCATGCTGGAAAGCAAGAAAACACCTCTTCCACAGTAGACCCTGTGTTCCTTCTGCTTCCTAATTTGTCTTCAGGGCTTTGCTTTAGCAGTTGTCTGGCCATATCTCCTGGAAGGACAGTTCCCCTGGCCACTCAGTAGCAGAGCCAGAACGAGGACCCGCCTCTCCCGGATGGAGGCCCGCCCTGTGCTCCTGGTGCCAAGCAGCCTGGCCCTCTGTGCCCCGGCTCTCCTCCTGCTTTCAGAACAGCCCCTGGAAACAGAACAGTACTCAGCAGCACTGAGGGACTGGCAGTGCTGGTTGTGAAGACCTCATGGCACAATCTGTGCTGAGCACACCCCAGATGCCAGGCAGGCAAGGAAAGGAGCTGTCTTCAGATGGCCTCTGAAGCTGCTGCTGTGACCCTTTGGACTGCCTGAGAAGTGGGCTCTGGTACTCCCTGCCCCTCTCCAGCTTCCCTGCAGTGCAGACAGGTCCTCTGGGACAAGGGGGCTGGGTATGTCCCAGACCTTTGCAGGCCATGCACCCCTTCTTTGTGCGGGAGCATCAGCCGGCCACCTGTTGTTCATCTAGCCCTGGTAATCCCTTCTGTACCGTGTCAGCAGTTCAAAAGGGCACTGTTAGTATGTTTTGCCGACTTCAATTAACGTGAGATTTCAGAGGCCCCTCTGATCACATTTCATCTGTCACAAGTCAGGAACAAAACAGACAGATTCCAGTTTAGAGGAGGAAGGAGAAGGAGTTTATTGCAAATAACAACCACCAAACAGTTTGGGCTGGGCCAGGAAAGGGTGTTCTGGGAGCGCCCAGCTGCCTTTGTGCTCCATTTAGCCCACACCTGGACCCCTACCTCTCCTTCCCACCTGTGTTCCTCCTCTCCCAAAAAAGATGTAAGTGCAATAACTTACTTTAAAAGGCAAGAACGTTTCTTTTAATATTTTGCTATAATGTAGTTACATGGTGATATAGGCAGTAAAACTTTATGGAACTGACCTCATTTTTTTTTTTACATTTTTCTGGATTTTTACTGTATTTTTTAATATATATTTTTAATAGTTCACCCCAGGCCATTAAGCTAAAGGAAAAGTTGCATTTATACAGGGTTAAAATATCTTACAATGTGAACATTAAGTATTGGTTGAGGTTCATGTTCCTTCTAGCACTCAGCTCTCTTTTATCAACCACTGCACACCCAAACAGATGATTAGACACCGAAAACTGTCCTTCAAAATCAGTAGTATAAAGGCCTAGCTCTATGTGTGTGAGTGAAGGGGGAAGAAAGGAGAGGCCGAGGCTGGGTCGTGGAAGCACCTTTGCTCCCTACAGCATCCTGAAAGAAGTGAAGTGGGGTTGATGGGTCTTTGTCACCTTCTGATTTTTTAACTGGAGAGTCACAGACTATTATCCTGGGAGCCAGTTTACTAACCATCCTCCCCCAGCCAGGCCTGTTCACCTTTGCACCTGACCGTCAGGGCCACGAAACAGACCAGGAACCCCCGCATGTCTTTCGTGTTCTTGAAGATGGTCTCCCCACCATCTAGCCCAGAGAGGGGATGACTGCAGAAGCAGGGTATGTGGAGTTTTCGTGGAAACGTTCCTCTTGTTGGCCCTGCTGAAATGACAGGAGGCGGCAGGGAGCTGGGTCCAGTGTGGTCATAGCTGTGTGTGCTGGGGACCCACTTCACACTTACTGCACCCACCCCATCGCAGCATCTTTGAGCTAACCTGGCCACCGTGCTTCCCAAAGCTGGAGGCATGGTAGTGAGCACTGAGAATCAAGTATAGTGAAAAGAATTCAAGGAAAGTTCTAACAGCCCATGTCCGCCAAGCACCATTTCAGCCTTGGAGACAAGCCTCTCGGTGTACCCACCAGAGCCCTTGCTCCCACGCCCCGGGAGCGGTGCTGGCATCTGGAGGGCAGTAGCAGCACCTTAGTGTTGAACCTTGCCATGCTGAGACCTAAGCCCAGCAAGGACTGGAGGCGGTCAGTGTGGGGAGGCTGCCCGTCCATCTGCCGGCCACCCACGACTTCATCTTTAAGTTGTCATCTCTGTTGAGATCTTAGGCAGATAACCAAAGGAAATCCTCATCTTTCTTAGCTTTTTTGCTTAGCAATGAAACCACGTGGCAGGTAGATGCTTGTCTCCACCTGCCTTCATGAGCTCTAGCTCCAGACGGTCTTGGGCAGCTGCCCCAACTTGCTCAGTCATCCTAGGAGCTGACACGGCAGAGGCTCTCTGTTCTGTAGTGCAGAAAGCCAGGCCCAGCAACCCATCTGGGAAGGGAACGGGCCCCAAGGTTATCTTCTGGAGAACCGAGCTGCTGAGTGGACGCCCACGAGACATTGGGAGCTCCGTGCAGCACCGGCCACCCCCGAGGCCCCCGAGGCCCGGCCCTTACACTCTGGGTGGCACATCCCAGGTTCCTCTCTCAGCTTTGTCTCAGGGCAAATGCAGGTCAGGGCAGTCACTTCTCCACTCGGGGCCAGGGTCTTCTCTGTTGCGAAGGGGCTGGCCTAACTAGAGGGTTTCTAAGCTTCCTCCCAACTAGGTGGTCCTGTCATACTTCATGCGGTTAGGTGGCCCTCGAGGGCTGGGTCAAGCCACGGAGGACAGGATTGGGGTGCGTGGCTACCTTTGGAGAGATGAACAGGAACATTTCACACTGGCATGTTTGATCCTAGACCCTTCCTGGGTGTGTTGGGACAGGCAACCATAGCCACAGAGCCTTTTAATAGATGCTTTTTCTTCTCAAGTTTTTGGGTTGAAATTTGCCTGGCTTAGGTCTAGCCCAGCCAGAGAGCAGATGCATGGAGGAACTGGGCCCCGGGGGCCCCTCCAGAAGAGCCCCTTTAAAGTCCTTGCTCTCCCTCCCCGCCCACTCTGGAGCTGCCTGGCTCTCCTCCTTTGTTCTGATTCTCTCATGGGGAGAAAGACCCGGGGTGAAAGTTCCTTCCTCCCCCATCCTTCCTCAGCCATAAGCATTTCAGAAGAAAATAGGGGAGAAATGGGGGAACTCTTCCCAGCCTTAAGTGCTTTCTTCCCTGGCTAGATTTTGGGGAAGTCGGTTATTCCAGCAAAGCTCAGAACTACAAAAACCTTCCTGAAAGTCACTCCAAGGTCCTCAAATATTTGAAACAACTTAAAGCAAAGCCTCCAAGAACATTTAATTCAAAGTCAAAGACCTTTCGCCTCTAAAACATCAATTTTAGAGCTACGGTTCACAAAGAGGTCTGACTCTTATTAAAGGAGGCCACAGCCAGACTCTTCCTCAGCCTGGTTTCCAGAGCAGATGAGAACACCAGGTAGGCGGGAAGCTGTCACCCCAACCCGAGACCCTCACTCCACAATGCCAGGTTTACCCTCAGCCCAACCCAGGAGGCCATTCTGTGTCTGTGACCCTGTGCCTAGTGGGCCTGGCCCAACTCCATGACAGGAATCTAGGGAGAAGGTAGAAAAGGTGAGCGCTTCAATGCGGGGGGCCTGCCTGCTGGAGGGACCCCTGGGGTCTGACAGGCCTGCCGCAGGACGGTTACTGTGTAGTCCCAGCTGAGGTGAGGGCTGGGGCCCAGGGCCAGACCCAAGCTGCAGGGTCAGGCAGGCAGGTACGGAGTAAGCCTGGTTTTAGGAGGGCCTCCTGCCACCCCCACCTGCCATAGCAAGCCATGTCGAGGAGCCCAGGCCAGGAGCCCTTCCGCAGGCTGCAGAGAGGGCGGAGAGTCCGGGTCCACATGGAAGAAGTGGAAGGGCAGGCTCTCGAGAGAATGCAGAAAGCTGTGTGGAGAAGAATAGCACCCTCCCCAGTGCCTGGAGGGACACAGAGCCCCCATCTGCTGTGGACGGCTCTGGGCAGTGAAGACGCTGTGACAGAGATGGCAGGGAGGACAGTCAGTCTGAGGCTGTGGCAGGACCTGGAGGCTGAGCATGGCCACACGTCCTCTACCAAAGCCTGCACGCGGCTCTGGACCTTCTGCTGCCCGCCCCCCAGCCCTAGCGACGTGTTCCGAGTTGTGAGTCCTTCCACGCCCGGACACTGCTGAGCAGCGCCAGGGAGGGGCCACAGCAGGGCAGGGAAGGACAAGCCGCTCCGCATCCTCCTGGAGGGACCCTGACTGCGCTCTGGATGGAGAACAAAGCTGCCCAGACCTCCCCACTGCACTGGAGGCCAGGCCCGGGCCCTGCCCCACCCAGTTGCCTCCCCCTCCCAGGAGCTTCCCTTCTTCTAGCACCGTGGGAGCCCTAGTGGCAAATGTGTTCCCAGCCTCCCCCAGGTCCGGCTCCTCCCCTATAGTGTCTACCCGGAGCCAGGGGCTCTGGGGTGTGAGGGGCTAGCCCACGTCTCCCCTGGGGAGTGGCATTGCTGGATGGCAGCAGGGGTCCTTGGCTCCAGCTCCTGTTCTCCTCTGCCCACTGTCTCCAGGTGTGTCCAGCCCAGAGGACAGCCAGCTCCGTGAGACTTGTCGCTGTTCGTGGGGCAGGGGAGGCTGGTGCCTTGGCCCCACTTGGTCGGCTTCCCATGTGCTCTCAGGGAGGGAAAGTTGGGAGGGCAGGAGGCCAGTTCTGCAGGGCAGCCTGTTCTTCAGACACACAGTCCCCGGCCTGGTGACCGGGGGACCCCACAGGGAGGGCAAGGATGGACAACACTGGGTTGGTGAGGCTGCTGGGTCTGCATGGAAACTAGCTTTGACTCATGGTCAACTAGGCAGGGCGGAGGAGCAGGCAGGAGGGAGAGAGCGCCTTCAGCTTATCATGGATGCGAAGCTGAGAAACGTGGCCACCTGGCTCTCTCTACACTGCCTGTGGCTGGGAGCAGGGGTCAGGGCCTCAGTGCCAGGGAGGGGCAGGGGCCTGCTGCCCCCTCCCTCCCAGCAGTCCACGGGGCCTCAGACTTGGGGTGGTTGAAAGTGCTGAGGGTCAGGCCCCTGGCCCAGGCCAGGTTCCTAAGAGGAAAGTCGAGTGGGAGGCTGGGGGCCTGGAAGGCATGGGCATGGCCCACGGTGTCCCAAGGTGGGGACGGGGCGGGGGTGCCCTGTCATGTGGCCCAGGAGATGGCCGCACTGTGCTCCTTGGCCTTCATGCGGAGGGCCGCGATGCTCGAGGTCTTGCGGTCCGGCTCGCCATTGAGCTCGTAGCCATTGAGGCCTGGGCTGAGGCCAGCTGCTCCGAACAGGCTGCCCATGTGCGTCTGGCCCACGTGACTGCCAGCCCCAGACACACTCAGGAAGTCGGTGACGCTGCTGGCCCCAGAGCCAGGGGGGTGGGCGTGAGGGGACATGCAGGCAGGCACTGGGTCGCAGGGGACCACGCAGGCTGGCACCGGCGAGGCAGCCCCATTGTTGCCGATCCAGGACGGGTTCTGAATCTGGGAGAGGAAGGGGGAGATGTCACCAGCCGGCGGGCGGGCTCACCCCTTCTCCAGAGCACCTCTCCATGCACTGTCTATCCTTCCCATGAAGCCCCTCTTAAGTGTTCTTGATGGACATCCAGATTCCCCTGCGGCTGTGGGTTTTACACGTTGGCACCTCTATTCCCAGGGTCAGGCTAGCAGCAGAGGGAAATTCAGTTCTAAGGAGTGACCTCAGACTTCATCAAGGGTCCAGTGGAAGGGTGGCCCCCCGGTACCCCCAGCTGGCTTCCTAATTTGAGACTCGGCTGCGGACTTGGCCTCTCCGTCTGTGGATGGCAGCTGTGTCTCATTCACCTCCAGCTCATCCACAGGCACCTGAGCACGGTGAACAGACCTCAACTCAAAGAACTTTGGGATCGAAGGTTCCCTTGGGCCCCCACCAGGAGCAGGGAAGGTGGAGGGCTTGGGTAAGGTGGGTAGCAGGGGCCTAAACCTTCCAGAAGCCAAGAGTCCATGGCTGAGGTTCCAGGGACTGAACTAGGAGGCTTTAAAACTAACTCAGGATGGGAGGGGCTGCCTCAGGAGTGGACAGCCAGAGCTGAGGCCTGACCTCCCATGCCAAGAGGGCGAGGGCGTGAGCAGGGGTGAGCTGGCCATCTTATCTTCCATCGGTGCCACTGGCTTCCCTGCCTTCCCCAGCCTTCACCTGGGGCTCCCATCATCCTCTGCCTTCAAAGCACCTATAAGGAGGTAGAGTTGGAGTGTGGGCAGACCCGGGAGCCTCTCAGCTTATGCAACTGGGATTCTTGGAGCTTCAAGTGGGCTTCTGCCGGCCTGCCCTCCCACGTGTGTCTGGAGCACACTCAAGGGAGCATTTTAAAGCAGGGAGAAGGAGCTCAGCCCTAATCCTGGAAGGAAATACATTTCTCCCCGAGGTGCAGGGGAAGGGGGACTGGTTGGGCTCGATCCACCCGCTCTCGGAAGAGGTCTGGGCGTGTACTCTGTGCTGCTGTGAGTGAGGCTGGGGTGGGGCCGTGAGCAGGACCCTGCCTTGGTTTCTCCCTCCAGCTGTGCGCTCAGGCAGCAAAGCTCAAAGCCAAGGAGGGAGCTGGAGTTCCATCCTGGAGGACAGAGGGAGGCTGAGTTTAGGGAGGGAGAGGGGAGAAAGAGAGTGGAAGAACACAGTGCGAGCTGATGCCGATGGCACTGTGTGAGACACCCCGTATTCCTCATCTCTAGGCCTGCGCCCTGCCCCCATGTCCCATGAATCCCGGACTGGGGGAGACGGTATGCAGAGCTGGTCTGGGCGGAGAGCCTAGAGACCATTTGCTAGAACAGAACCAGGTCTGGGAGAAGTACAGGAGGCAGGGGTGTCCATGCTACAGGCTGGCTGCTGGTGGGCCAGGCTTGGAGCTGAGGCAGAGGCCATGCCAGCATGAGGCCTGGGCAGGGAGGGCACAGCCACTTCTGCTGGGCAGGCTGAGGCGTGTCGGGAGTGGACTTGGACTTGGCCAGAAATAGCCTCTCCAAGCATCCCAGGTGCCTGATGCGACTCAGTACTTCTTGTCCCTTGCATCTCACCGAGGACTCGAAGGACACCAGGGGACTGGCTGACAGACACCCAGGAAAATGCTCTGGGGCAGGGAGGGGAGGACACAGCCCCAGAAGCTGAGCGCAGGCACACAAACTTTTTGAAACTGTACCATCCACAAAATCCTTTTGCACAATTGAATTTAGACCTTACATCTATCTTTCAACAGTGTTGAGCAGATGCTTTTACCGCGTCCAAGGTACAGATGAAGAAATGGAGGCTCAGAGACTTGAGACTTGCCTGAAGTGAGAAGGACCTGGAGCTGGGGAGACAACCTAATTCCCCGGACTCAGAATTCCAGGCTCATTCCAACTTGGCCACAAGTCCTCGGGATTGGAGAGTGAGCTTTCTGAAGAGATATTCCGAGCGGTATCTGATGGCCTGGATGGCCTTCTGCCTGCCTGGGTTCTGATGCCCACAGCAAAAGTGGCCAAGGCTAGTGGAGGAAAGAGCCGCTCTCACTGCCCCAACCTTCCTTTCCCTAAAGCTCAGCCAAGCCTGGGTCGATGACTAGCTGGACAGAATAACCCTGGGACTCCCACATTCTGGCATAAATAGGCACACCCCTGGACTGAGACGGGAGGGCAGCCTGGAGCCGTAAGTCATCTTGGGGGACCTGGCCTCTCCTCCAATAGGCTCATTCTCAGAGCACCAGGGGCTGGGGATCCAAGGAGACAGCTCAGGGCAGAGCTTACCTGGGCGTAGTTCTCTGCTCGGGTGAGGAGGGGCAGCTCATAGGCCGTGGAGAAGTGGGTTCGAACCTGCTGCATCTGCCCAAAACGCTCCCGCTTCCTCCACTTGGCCCTGCGGTTCTGGAACCAGACCTACAAGGCAAAGAAGCTGTTGTCACCATTGTCACTGGGGCGAGATGCCAGCCTGGAGACCTCCCCTTCAGGCAGTACAAACTGTTCCCTTGAGCCCCCTCCCATCAGTTGCAGTGCTTTCTGGAAGCCGGGGGGCCACACATAAATATCAGCCTTCGTCTTTGTCCTCAAGAGCTGACAATCTAGGATCAGCCACCCTGAGTTGGGAAGGTATGTTACCCCCACTAGCCATGGGCAGGATCTTGAGATCTTTATTTTTCTAAGCTTCAGAACCTAGAGCAGGCAAGTGTCACCACTCATGAAACAAGTCACTGGTCATCTTAGCAGTCATCCAACCCACTGTGGGTTACAAACTCCTGTGGAGAAGCTGGTAAAAGCTTCAACCGCTCCTCCGTACGTGTTCTCCTAGACAATCACACAGTTTTGCCACAGTTTTCCAAAATGCTCATGGCTCTCTAAGTCCTGTTGGTCCAGATGCCTTCCTCCCTGCATCCTGTCTACAGTCTTCACTTTGGAAACAGTCTCCCAGCTCAGAACTGCCCTGTGTTAAAGGGAATGAGGCCCCATGGGAGAACAGGAACTCTGCTGGGCAATAGAGGCAGTCAGGGAAGGCTTCCTGGAGGAAGGACAAGAGCTGGGCATTGAATGGTTGGCTGAAAGGAGGAAAGCCAAACCCTGGGTTTAGAAATAGCAAGGCATATCCCAAAAACCTAAAGAGGTCAATTTGAAGGAATTGGTGGGAGAGAAAGGCACAGAGTCTGATCGCAGAAGGCCTTGAATGCCGAGTGAAAGGGTTTGTCCTTGGTGCTATCCACAGAGGCAGTCACCACAAAATCTTGTGTGGAAGAGTGGCCTGGTGCTGAAAGGAAGCAGAGGCCCACCCATCACTGAGCCCGAGTGGATGGGATGTTGGTCTGGCTGGGAGCCCGACTGGGGAGGGAGGTCTCTGAGTCAGCCGTGAGCACTGGGGTCCTTGGTGGTGGGGAGTGTTGGGTCCTATTCCTTTGCATGAGCATTTCTGGAAGGCTGAGAACCTTCCGGATGCTCCAGAGCAAGAGCTGCTCTACCCCTGGCCCATGGATTAGGATCTGGAGAAGGAGCAGTGGGGACGTGGTAGGTGAGAGAGGGAGGGTGAGGAGGGCCAGAAATGGCTTCAGGCTGATTCAGAGATGGACCATGGTGCTCCTCAGAGGGAGGCCTCTGCCAGCTTGATGTGCACCTGCCTGCTGGCTTTGCAGACTCAGATGCAAGTAGGCACACCTCAGACAGCACGCTGCAGACGGGGAGAACAGAGCCATGACAACAGCCTCAGCTGCAGAGCCATAAGGAGTCTTGCCAGGCTCTTCCAGGCCTAGGCATCAAGAAAGCCAACTTTCCTGAGGTCCAGTCCCTGCTCTCCAGGTGGAAACCCTTCTCCATCCATCACAATCAGTGCGGCTGCTGAGCTAAACATAGGAGTCAGCTCTCGATATTCTTCTGCCTCAGAGCCTATGAGCTTCCTAGCAACCACTGCAAGGAGGGGAGAAGGAGGTGTGGACCTCCTCCCTGCAGACGCTGCCTGGCATCTTTGGGCGTCCGGTGTAGCTGGCGAATAGACGGGCCTATGGAGGTACTGGCATTGCCAAGGGGCTCAGTTTCTGCACGGCAAATGGTGCCTCACAGCCACAGCAGGGGAGATAGATGGGAAATGCAGTCCAAGAATTTTTAGAGTATTTCCCATTTGTTTATTTACAGCTCCTGACCTTTCTCACTGTCTTTGCTAGAGGACAGAGGTCAAAGAAGCAGGGAACATGTCTCATGTTACTGTGAGGACAGTAGGGGTGAGCGGGGTGCAGGGAGGCACATGAGTATGTTTCTCTACTCCTGCGCAACTTGCTTTCCCCTTCCTCATCCCAAGCATGTGTGCGTGTGCCCAAGTGGACCCACTAGTGTGCCTGCGTGCATGCGCATGTGCGCACACACATTGTCTGGGAGGAGAAGCCTCTTCCCTAGAGACGGACCCTCTCCAGAGCCTGGGGTCTCAGCCCCTGCCCTGGAGCCTCCCAGGGCTCCTTTTCCTCCAGGGATTCATTCCTAGGATCCAGGCCCTGGCCGCCCACTGGGAGCCAAGGGCAGATGGGGTCTCCTCTCCACGCTGCTGAAACGGGATCCCCCTTTATCAGTGGCCTGGGATGGGAGACTGGGGCCAGGATGAGAGAATGAATCAGAGGAGCTTGTTTTCATTTCATGTTTAATTTCCTGCAGGCTTAGCTCTGTCTTTCCGCTCCTTCCTCAGCCTCCCAGGGTTTTCTGTGGGGGAAGCTGGGGGAGGGGAGAAGCCACTGGAGGCGCAGAGAGAGAGGGCTTCTCTTTTTCTTTTTGCCACTGTGACTGCTGGGGTTCCCCTTGTGTCTCCATGGGTTCCAGGTCCCCATGGTGGGACTGTGGAAGTAGGAGGTGACTCTGCAGGCTTTGGAACAGGACATCCAGGGATGAGTGGGGAGGGACCCCGAGGGGGGAAGGAGGTGGCCCGCGCCTGGCGGAAGGGTCTAGAGGGGAGGGAGGAGCCGTATGGGGGAGTGGAATGTGGGACTCCAGCTCGCTGGAGCTGAGTGTGAGGGTGGAGGAGATGCGGGTTATCTGGGGAAGACAGATGAGCAGGCGGGGGAGAGGCCCATAGACCTAGCATAGTCTTTGGAACAGGCGTGGAAGAGGGTCAGGCTGAGGGATTTATTTGAGGGCCGAAAATGGAGATGGTGAGAGTCGGGGCAGCAGCTGGTGGGAGCAGGGCTGCCCACCTCCTTCCTCCTTCCTCCTCCTCCCGTTCCTTTGTCCCGGGCCTTATTCTGTGCTCCCAACTCTGGCTTTTGTGCCCAGATCCCAACATAAGCTAGGTGAGCCTGGCCGGTCCTCAATATCCTCCCCCGTAAATTGAGGCAGCAGGGGTATCCCCCAGCCCCTTCTGTGCTCACATTTGCAGGTCCTGAGGCTTGGAGTGTCCTTCTGTTTCTGACCCCTGACACCCCAGGCGCTCTGAGAGCTCCCTTCCAGATGCCACACCAGCCCCCAGGTCTGCCCCTGTGCCTCCAGACTCTGCACCGCAGGCCCATCTCCACCGTGCAGCCCCGGAGGGTGGCCAAGCACCAGGTCCCCGCTGTCCTCCCCGTCTGAACGTCACACCCCAGGACCACCCCGGCCTGGGCTCACTCAGCACAGGCCTCTCCCGAAGACCGGGCTGTGCAACGAACTGACTGTCTTGGCGGAGGCCTCCCTAACCGCAGCCCATCTGGGGCCAGGGTGGGGTGGCCCAGGGCGGGGAGGCCTCTGTCTTATTGTCTTCAGACACCAGCTGCAGAGATTGGAATCCCAGACAGCAGAGACAGGCCCCTGCAGCCCCCTGGAGCAGGGCCAAACCCCAGGCTTCTTCCCAGGAAAAGTCCATCTTGGGACCCCCATTGCTCCCTCCCTGTCCCCACCACCACTCTGCGCCAGGCACCTGGCTTGCCACCAGCTGAGTATGGGCCCTGAACAAGCACAGCAGAGGCAGGCAGGGGGTTTCATCGCCACCCCCTGAACCTCCCCAGGGCACTGCCAGGCTTAGGGCTCAACCCAGAAGTCTGACGCACATGAAGATCCCACCCACCCTGCTGCCTTTATACAAAGAAAAGCCTCTGAACAATCTGGCATGTGTCCTGGTACAGCAAACTAAAGTCAGAGAAGCACTAGACTGTGACTCAGGAGTTCTGGATTCCAGTCTCAGTGCTGCTACTCAGTCGCTGCTGTTAACTTCAGGTTATGACTTCCTGCCTCTGGGCCTCTTTTTTCTCGTCTATCAAATGGAAAGATGGGGCGATCATTTCCAGCACTACCATTCTATAATTCTATGGCCCTCCCACTAGATGATAAGATAGGCAACACATCAGAGTTTCCCTTTCTGCCTTGGCTGCCAGGAAGTTCCAAGTTGAAGTTTGTGCTCAATGGCAGCTGTGAAACTTAGCCTCAATTTTATTTTACCGCATCACCTCTGCATGTCATGCCATTGTTCTTGCTTTTAGATTGACACAATAAATCTTTAATTGTAAGCCACGTCTACTCCATTTTGGAAGGAGGTATGAGTGTGTGTGTGTGTGCGTGTGTGTGTGTGCACGTGCGCACATGTGCATGTGTGCAGAGAACACTGTTTTAGTTGTGTTGTGGTGACTGAAAAATGCTCTGTGTGTGTACTCAAAGCGTCATTCTTCTTTCAGTACTAAATGAATTCTACTCCTGGGCACTCCTTTATGTTTGTTAGGAAGCATGCATGCAACCCACATATGCAAACACAAATGTACACACATGCGGCACAGAAAATGGACTGGTTTATCCCACACCAACATGGCATCTACAGGGCTCTCCTGTAACCACCCATGTTCCTTCCCCTACCTACACCTGTGGTCCTCCTCAATCCATTTGCTGGAGCTCAAGCTAGATGCTGGGATTCCTGTCCAAAACCAGGCATGTAAGGTCATGTGAGTGGCTGGTTGTCCAAACTCAAATGAGATCTGGGGGCGTGTGAGGGCTTCTGGATTCACAGGAAAGCCCCGGCTGCCCTGCCGTCCTTCCTCAAACATTCATTAGGCACTGGAGGGAAATAAAATGGCAGCCTTGCTGGACGCGGTGGCTCACACCTGTAATCCCAGCACTTTGGGAGGCCGAGGTAGGCGGATCATCTGAGGTCAGGAGTTCAAGACCAGTCTGGCCAACATGGTGAAACCCCTTCTCTACTAAAAATACAAAAATTAGCTGGGTGTGGTGGTATGCACCTGTAATCCAGCTACTCGGGAGGCTGAGGCAGGAGAATCACTTGAATCCTAGAGGCAGTGGTTGCAGTGAGCCAAGATCGTGCCACTGTACTCCAGCCTGGGCAACAGAGCAAGACTCTGTCCCAAAAGAAAAAAAAAAGTGGGAGCCTGGACTGGGTCTGGTGGCTAACGCCTATAATCCCAGCACTTTGGGAGACCAAAGCGGGTGGATCACTTGAGGTCATGAGTTCAAGACCAGCTTGGTCAACATGGTGAAAACCTGTCTCTACCAAAAAATACAAAAAAAATTAGTGGATGTGATGGCACACGCTTGTAGTCCCAGCTACTTGGGAGGCTGAGGCATGAGAATCGCTTGAATTCAGGAGATAGACTGCAGTGAGCCAAGATCACATCACTGCACTCCAACCTGGTGACACAGTGAGACCCTGTCTCAAAAATAAAATTAAATTAAATTTAAAAATGGCAGCCAGCCCTTAGGGAACTCAACTGAACCATGCAACTCTTCAGCATCACTTCCAGTAGCTGCAGTTTCTGATATATATTTACTGATAACCACTAGTACTTTTCCACATTAGCGATTTTGGAAAAAAAGTTTGTGGACTCTTATTAGAGATGCCTCTGCTTTCTTAAACATAACATGGATGTAACTGATGAATCTTTTACTGATGCCTTTGAACCATGCTGCTGAAGATTCTGGTTTTTTTTTTTTTTTTTTTTTTTT